GAAGTCATGTTTTGCTGCTGACCGTGGGAGTGATTCACTGAACACCATGTCCTCTGTCAGAGGTAGAAAGCAATAAGCAGAGAACATTTGGCATCCCTGTCCATGAAAAGACCCAAGCCAACTGTTGTGCTCATTCAGCTGCTGCAGAAATCAGCTACAGAAAGCTTTAGGAGGAAAGTGGGAAAAGGAATGAAACTTGATTAAAGTGAACTCTTACTTCCACTACTGTGAAAAAGGGGCAAGAGGAATCTGACTGTTGTCTCTTTGAACATAATTGTTATTGCAGACAGGACTGTGCAGTTACAGGTATAGTAATTCAATGCTCTCAAATTGTATTTTGAAGGTCAAAAGTTTCTAAAATCGTCACGTTTTTGATTGTGACTTACAGCAGCAGAGTTCAGAAGTTCTCCTCAAATCTGGAGAAGCTGCCAAATGCAACCACGCTTCGATAGGTACAAAGTACCCTTTGGAAGAATCCCATCAAATTATAATCACCTCTCATTACTGCATAAGCAGCAGCTTTTCTGGGTGAGGTGGCCAGTTCTCACCTACTCCTTCAAAAATCTACATACTGGATCAGACATTTTTGTGATTCTTGGTTTTCATTTCTGCTTTTCTCTCCTCTTTCTTCCACAAGTCATATTCCCAACGTTCCTTCATAGTTCATTGCAATGTTTTGTTCATTCACATAGGATTTATATTGGCTTCCATGAAATCAGTATGTGTATATACAAGTAGGTAGCAAGGTCACCTTAGCCTCTCTTTGCACATCATAGACAGCTTATTAGCAGGATTGTCACTATAAAATCCAATATTCCATGTGGTGGAGAATTACTTTTTAAAAGTTTAGCACTTAAGGCACAAATGCCGTGTTTGTACGTGAGCCAACTCAATGGATGATTCTTTCTGGATGTTTCTGCCATCAAACCATTATATTTTCCACCATCAACAAAAATCAAGTTCAGTCAAAGCCTAAAAGAGGAACGCTTTCATTTAACATAGCACAGTAATGGTTTCTTACAAAATACAACTAATTAGGCACAAAATTCTAGGAAAAATAAGGAAAAAAATTAATGTAGACAGCCATTTTATCACTTTGATGCGCCTTATCTTAAATTTGGGGGGTGTTTGCTGCTCAAAACTTTCAAAACTCAGCTTGTATTTTGACAAGAATAACCAATGCTTAAACACAGTCAACAAGGCTACTTGCTCATATGCTGATGGACTTTTTCAAATCCTCTCATTTCTCAAAGAAGCCAGTGATGTGGGAGTCCTTAGCTTAGGCTTTTCGTGGTGCTGAGCAGCTGATGCTTCATGGTAGACCAAGCAGTGGTTGCTACTTAAAACCAGTGATCCTGCCTTTAATTTTGTGCTTTCTACCTCTCCCCTGCAGAAAACCTGCAACTCCCCCCACACAGATGCACAGCTGTAAGAGTCAAACCCGGTTTCATATCTCTTCCACTTCCAAGTAAGCCTCCCAAATTACCACATGATGCACTCTTAGTGTAGGCAAAGGAAACTCAAAAGTGTTTAATCATTCTTAGGATGTCTAGGTCTGCACATTTTACTGTATTCCTATGTGCTTTTCCTCCTCCAGGAGCTGCAGGAGAACTGATGGCATAAAGGGTGAGTGGAGGAAATGACCATCAGTTCCATTCTCCTAGTCCATTTGTAAGATGAACCATCAAGAAAACAACACTTCAAATTCAGTATATATAATATACATTCCCAGGATTTTCTGAAATGTGCCCTGGTTTTAATTAAAATGTGAAGTGTACGCACTGAAGGACTTGTTTCTCTGCCAGGAGCAACTTTCCCACCATAGACATCAAATGCCAACTGAAAAAAAATACTTCGTTTTGTTCTTGGATTGAAAATTCTCCAACTCTATTACATTTGGAAACATAGCATAGTAGCAGAGGGCAACATTATGTCTGACATATATAATTAGTTTATGAAAAAGTATAACCAGGGGGCACATTTTTGAAAGAATCACTTTTTCACACAATAGTTGCAGAATAATGGATCACACTGATCCTTTTTCTAAATGATATGACAAAGTAAATGAGCATTTGTATAAAAATGCCATAACAGTTGAAGCTTGAATGAGGGAGTTTGCAACCTTTGTTTGTGCTCATAAATTACCCTGTAGATAAAAAGGTAACATTAATAAAACCCAAAAGGCATCCAAAGCCAAGAGATACAACCCATCAAATACTGAAATGCATTATATTGTGTACCTCATGTTAATCAGTCGAGATCCTAAAGTACAAATTGCCTCCAGCAGTTTCTAAAGTTATATCACAGGTTAAATGGACACCCACAGACAGAGATTAGTCATTTAAAAGACAAAGGTATAAGAACTGATTTCAACTACTAAAGCTGTCTTACAAATCATTTTTTCTTGCAGTTTTGAAGCTATGCCTTTCTTCCCCCTGTTTCCTGGTGAGGGGCTATTACTAGGGCAAGCATAATCTGGCAGCATATAAGGCTTTTTCCAGTGATTACTTTAGGGGAAAATGAGCAAAAAGGTGTTAGTCTTTCAGATCCAATAAATTCACTTGTCACTTCTAACAGCCGTGCATTAGTAAGTTATTAAAGATAGCTGAATTTCAATCACTTATCCTCTCTCAAACACTAAAATATGTGGTATGTCATCCTCAGATGCAGAATTAGCACAAAATGCCATGAGCATCTGAGAGATGTCCTGTGCAGCACGAGCCCTTTTTGTCTGTAACCCCAGCTCAAGAGGACTCTTGGTATTGAAAAGTCAGATACTACAAGCAGTGAGTGCCTGCTGCCTGAGTGTATTCTGATAGCCCTTTCATTCGCTGCCTGGATGAAAAACCAGGTAATTTGGAGCTCACAGAGGGGAAGGAAGGAAGGAGGAGGAGGTAATACGTAAGAAAACTTGCTTATTTGCAGGTTTCACTGAAGGCTGTAAGAGCTGTAGAGTATAAAACTTCTGGGAAAAATAAAAAAACCCATACCATCAGAGGCTTGAGTAATCTCTTCTTAAGAAAGCAGGATTTCTGACTTACCTAAAAGTCTATTTTATTTATTGTATTAATATTTCACACTGGCTTGGAGCTTATTTGCCTGGACACTCCAAGTGCTTCACTCTCCATAATCAGAAAGAAGAAACTTTCAGATATTTATGACAGGCTTGGAGGAAATCTGGTCTTGGCAGAAATCACACCAAAGAGAGAAGAGGGGAATGGCAATTCTGGAGAGGCAGAGGTACCAAGAGCAGTGTACTTATAGAACCTTAAAACAACTTGATGCAATTGTCTCCTTTTTTTGAGTGTTCAGAAAGTAATATTCCTTGGAGTTACTAATGTTTTGAGCAGTGCTACTGACCAGTCACTTAACCCTTCATGTCCTACATGCAGTGATAACAACCCCCCTACTTCTATATTCCTGTTTCATGCAACACTGCAAGAGGTGAAGTGTGCAGTGTCAGCACACAGCAGTTTGTATGATCATGAGCAAAGATTTTTTTTTTTTTTTAACCCCTAAGCAAAATACTTGTCTTTGGGTCAACAGACCTTAATACTTAGCAGACTGGAAATAACAAACAAATACATACTTTTATACTATTTTCCACACTAACAAGACAAATGGTGGGTGAGCATAAGTTTTGCAAAGCTTAATTTAGAGATGTAATCACAGCAAGCAGCAGTTCAGAGCAGAAGCATATGCCAGGCGCTTTGAAGAGCACGTGGGGTTCTGTCACTGCTTTGACTACTGAGAGCAGTTTCCAAGTCCCTAAATTATGTGCCCAACAGTCAGTGTTGCAAATATCTCCTCCTTTTTTTTTTCCTTTCCCCTGCATTCTTCATAGTCCTCTGTGGATCAAAAACTCAAATTACAAATCCCGTGCTTGGACAATATGAGGTTGGTGTGTGTGCCAGTGCAGGTGCATATGCACATGCATGTGTGGGTAGGAAGCTCAATACATGATTTCTTTCCTGAGAAGTCAAAAAAATCAGTGAAGAGCAACAAAGTCTACACTGAGCTGAGTTCTTCCTGAGTCAGTCTTGGCAGTTTAGCTCATATTTTACAGCAAAGTTCTGGTCAGTAAGAATAAGAATAATACAGTCTTTTCTCCATGCATACACTGATTTTTTTCTCACTCAGTGAGATATTTTTTATCAGATAAATATCTGTTGTATCCATACTCCAATAAGAAGAATAGTAGAGATAATATAATTTCACGTCTGTGAAATTATAATATCTAACAAAGCAAAGACATATGATCTAAAGTTGGTTTTCATAATGTACAGAAAGCCTGGGGTTGCCCAGTCTCATCAAGCATCCAACTAATGCAGCAACCCTATAAAATTAACAACCTTGCAAACAAGAGCTCTCTGGATTATGAAGCTGTACAAATTGAGTGAACTGTACAAATCACAGCATGCTTCTAACACTGAAAAGGAAACCAAATATTTACAGAGCTAAGAAATACCACTTGATTTGGTTTGAGTGACCTTCTCTTGCAGAATCCTCAAGTTGAATTAGGATGAAAACAGAAGACAATTCACTTGTTAACACCATAAAGTAAAGAGATTCAAAGCCTGTTTGGAATTTCAGATGTGAATGCCAGCATACAAAATCAATCGGAGTGTGGGATTGCATGTGTGTAGCATACACACATCTTTGCTGTATTAGACAGCATCGGCAAAAATTAAACTAAGGAAAAGCAAACTCAAGGAGATGGTGCTACAGGAAATCCCATCTACGTTCAGGTTGATAAAACAAATGAACATATTTGCAAGGCTGGTATGAACTAGGAAGGTTTTCATTCCTTAGTCCAACTTTAGGTAAAAGCAGAAACAGAGCCCTCCTCTGCTCCAAACCGTATTTCAAGTTCCCCGGCAGCACAAGATACCGCTAATTAACGAAAACCAAAGGATGACGAAATGAAGCCAGATAAGCCATAAATATCTACATATATAAGCACACAGCAAGCAATATAATGAAAAGTTAGCTTGATTTACCGTTTTAATTGTCCGAGTGGGTGGTTTGTTTGGGTTTGGTTTTTTTTGGTGGTTTTTTTTTTTGTGTGTGTGTGGGGAAACGTCGGGAGCTGCTTTCACGAGGACTCCTCCATACGCATCCACATCGCGGCGGGCGCCGGCTCCGGCGCGGAGAGCGAAGCGTTTCCCTCCGCAGCCGCCCAAAACAAGACAAGAAAACACGGCGAAGGGGCGGGGAGGCGGCAGCCGGGTGGGCAAACTCCGGCGCCTCCCCGAGCGCTGCCCTGCCCTGCCCTGCCCGGCGGAGCAGCCCCGCCGCTCCTCCGCCGCCCCGCAACTTGCGGGAGCCGCCGGGGCTGGGCGGGGCGGGGGCGGGCACCGGGATGATGCCCGGGATGATACCCGGCGGTGCTCCGCCCGCGCTGCCCGCGGCTCCCGGGAGATGCCCGGGGATGCGCGGACCTGCCGCTCCGGCGCGATGTGCGGGGAGCGCCAGCGGTGCCTTGCGGGGGCTGCCCCGCGCTTGTGCCGCCTCCCCGGCTCCGCCGAGCCGGACGAGGGCGGGGAGGAGCCCTGCGAGAGCCCTCCGGGATGCGGGGGAGCCTTGTTTTATCCTAAATTGGGTGGAAAGGCTGCTGCTGCCTTTAGCCGTTGTCTTCTCAGTCTCTGCCTGGTGGGGCGGGTGGGTGAAGGGGAAGGTCTGTTTCAAGCACCCGGCTTATATGGGATTTTGGAGCTTCACAAGTGTGTGCTAGTTAGTGGGTGAAACTGTCAGCCTCCTCCAGAATGTTACGACTGGGCTGTGAGGGAGAGGTGCCAGGGCGCACGTAAAGTGGTGCAGAGGTGGGAAAGCGTGTGCTCTGTTCTTCGGCAGAGAAAAAGCACAGCTGTCAGAGGCATGCGTTTGGACCAGCAGAATCTGAAGTGAGTGATACCTTACTGAGGAGCTTCCACATTGCCTGGGAAGTAACTGACCTGTTGTCCCTGAGGAGAACCCCGGGTTCTTCAGAACACAACAGTTGCAGACCTACTCGGTGCCTTTTTCCTCCCCCTTCTCCACATTCAACCCTGGGCCTTCACACTCATCAGGTCTCAGTGGTTGCCTCTAGCCCATCATCTGAGAGGGCTGAGTACCACCCAGACAAACTATCTGCAAGCAGTGTTTTGAGCTCCTCTATTTATACAAGCATTTGTTTTTGAAGCAAACCAAAACGTGTTTCAGTGAAACAAGCCCCTAGGTACCATTGCAAACTTTTATTCCGCAAAAGCTTAAAAGAGCTGAAAGTACTACAGGGTAATTTATAACACTGGTTTTTAAAAAGGGCAAAGCAAAGCCTTTGTAGATAGAAGGTCCAACAACTCCCTGCAGCACACAGCTATGTTGTAGTCTCATCAGTCTAATTAGATGCAGTATCCCTGGGTCATTTGGTGCCTGCCAGGTTTTGAAGTGGCTGCTTAGGATTTGTCTTCTGCAGGCTTTTTAAGTTCCAGTTTTATGTGAGCTGAACAATCTTATTTCTTTTGCAGGTTTTGGCACGGGTGAATGCGGTCTCCTCCCTCAGCTACCAATTACATATATCACCTGCTACTGTTTGAATTAATGAATTACACCACAAGTGACCTTAGAAATAGCAGAAGTAATAGCAAAACAGTTCTAACCTGTCCATTGCTCCTGACCAGTAAAAATCAACTGTTTATGATTAACCTGTGTTTGCACAGTAGTCTGCATCTGGCTTTAGACTGATGCCATTACACTCAGTCTAACAGGAATGTGAAAGTGCCTCTCCAGAACTGACAATTTAGTATGTTACTCTTCTGCAGTGCCTATAAACCTTTGAAAATATTTTCTCCTCTGTGAAACTGTTTGAGTGACACTGATGGTGGCAGAAACTATCTAGTAATTTGCAACACAAGGGGCAAGGGCACAGGATGTCACAGTGTAAGTGAGCAGTCTCATCTCCTTCTTCAAATATCTCCTTAGGATGTCTTGCTTCCTGTGGTGTTTGCTTTGGGTTTGATCATTGCTATTTTATTTTTGTTTTAGTTTCAAACTGTGGCTCATTCTTTTAGACTGTGCCCTACTCAGTGTAGTGTCATCTTGTTCAGCTGGTGTGCCTCACAGAAATACATTTGATGGTTGCAAGAAGGGGATTTTCTGTTTTGATTTTAACAGGTAGCAATTTAAAGCTTATTTTTCAGAGTAATTTTTTTTTTGTTGTGTTCTTTTACATAGGAATAGTTCATACTGGGTCAGGCAGAAGTTCTTTCCAAGTCCATTATTTGCTCTCTGAGGAGAGTTGACTGTGGGTACCTAGGAAGAGAGTGAGACCTGGGCAAATACAGAGAGATCCTTGTCCTGAAAAACCCTTTCATCCTGCTGAAGCTTAGGCAATGCAAGTTTGAAGCACTAGGTATGCCTTTGTATCTAATCTCCTCGGGGGATCTTTTTTTATAAGAGTGTCCACAGGTAATTTTTGAACACGTTTATTCTTTTGTTATTCATTCTGTCACTGCAGCAAGTTGTTCTACAGCACACCTAGGCATTGTTCTTGTGAAAAAGTACTTTTTTATTATTTTAAACTTCTGTTTCGTAAACAAAGGCAAGCAATGGTGGGAAAGTTTTACGTAGTTTAAGTGATACCTTAGTTTAGATAAAGCTACTTAATGCCTTGTATTAAATAAATTAAAAAAAGAAAGAAAGAAAGAAATAGGCCAATGAACTCCTAATAGCTGCATACAGGGTTTATTCAGGAAGAATGCCCACACTTCTTATATACTTAGATCTCAAGTTTTCTGAGACAGTCTTTTTGCCCTGAGTTTGCACAACACCTGCCTCATTAAAGACTTGATCCTGGACTCAGGCTCCAAGACAAAATGACACCAAAATGATAATAATGGGTTGTTTGAATGATAAATAAAAGGAAAATTTTTTAAAAAATGGCATGGTGGCTGCTGTGTGGATACAGAACACTGGTGATTTTTGTCACATACATTTCAGTCCCTTTCTGAGTGACTTGTTGCAAAGAGAAACATTTTCTTAGATAAGCAATAAAATAATTGAGTTTCTTGAATTCAAGATTGCATTCCCTATCTGTTGTTTCCTAACAGTGTTAATGACCAGTGATGATGCTACTCCCAGCTTCTCCCTTGAGCTGACAGAGTTAGAACCAGCATTTCACAAATTTGTTTAGAGACAATTCTCCAGGTACATTTGGGGCCACAAGATCCCCAGAAGGGTTTTCTGACTGTTCTACTATAAACTCTCCACAAATCATGTCAGAAAATCTGGATCTGAGGACATCAATAAGGCTATGGAAGATTGTCATGAGTTACAGTCACCCTGCACTTCAAAGGACGGCTTTTCCCAGCAGCATTTGGGGGGCATCACAAAAAGCAGCAGTGCTCTGCAGCACACTCAGAGCCTCAGGAAGAGGAGGGACTTACGGACTAACTTATTCCCTCAGTGTGCCAGCTAATGGCCTCTGTCATCCCAGCTCTCCTTCCCCAGGGTTGATGAGGTAGATGATAATGAGCTGGTGTATAAAGCGGGTGTGGGAGAAGAGTGGGGCAGGGAACACTCAGTTTAGCATGCTGTTTGAAATTCCAGTATCCAGCCATGAAGTCCAGGTTGCTTTCTTTCTCTTTCTGCATGGAGTGAAAGAAGGACTGGAGTTCATTTGTAAACCACCATAATTTGTAAACTTTTCTCCCTTCTCAACAGTATAGACTTGATAAGGGAATATTTAGGGTTTTCCATCACATTTAAATCCTCCTTGTGCAATAAACTGTGTTGGTAATTTGTATTTCCTGTATGGCATTCCTTTGTTTGCAGGCTCTTTTTTTTTTTTTTTTTTTTTTCTGGGATGTTTCTTTCCAAGGATGTTAAGAAGCTTTAATTGTTTCCTGGTGCTTCATCCTTTCCCATTCACTAATGTAGATCTGGTGGCTGAGGTTTGCTGACAAATGCCTTTCCTTTCTCTCTGGATTGTATGCACAGGTCTGGAGATTAATCAGATTGGGATGCTGGAGTTTTTTCCTCATATACTTCCTCCTTTCCAGGCATTGGTTTGAGAAAATAAAGCTTTTTCTTCTGGAAAAGCTTAGTAGTATGTTGGTGAAGAGACCACTAGCCAGGGGCTGTTTGTCTTGGGCACTGTAGTTATGGCAGACTGGGTTGGAGTGGATTTAAATTTAGCTGTGTATAGATACTCTCAGTGGGTTCTTTAATATATTTCAGCTGTGAGGATCTCAGTAGAATGTTTAGTAGCAGGGAGTGGGAACATTATAGGTTGTTCATTAACAAGATAATGCTAAGAAGACAAGAGTGTTTAGTGATGGAGCAGAAAGCAACAACACACACAAAAAAGACATTAAATTTTGAAAGACATTTGTAGCCTTTATCCTACTTGCATCTTGTCATGCTCAGCCTAAGTTGCCAAATTCCCATCCTCTGTGACCTTGGGGGTAGCCAGCAAAATCCCTGGTGTGGGCTAAGGTACTGGTGCCTGAAAGTGTGGGAGCTCTGTGAAGTGTTTTACCCTGCTGACCACCCCCTCCACTCCGCAAGGAAACCTCACTGGGAAAACTAACTACCTGTGACAGCCATCTGTTACATGTTGTAACCTGGTATTTGCTGCTTCTGTTATTCCCTGATACCTCCTTGTTCCCTCACCTCTACTGTTTTATTCTGCTGCTGCCTGTGAGCTGTGAGAGACAGGGGCAAAGGAAAAGTTTTGGGGAGGTTTCTACAGGTGTGCTGGGCATGGACACCACTATACCCTCCATCAGAGCCACCCCTGGACACAATACATCTGCCTTCTGGGAGGGTGAAGAAGAGGCCCTGGCCATATCTGAGTGAATATAAACCATATCTGAGTGAAAACACCAAGCCCAAGACAAAGTAGCTTGAACTGATGTAAGAGATTAATGCAGTAGAAAGTGCTGCCAGAAGATTTCCTCCCACTGGGTTTATGAAAGGTAAGTATAAAAGTTGCTGTTTAGTCTCCAGGTCCTCACTGTCTTATGGAAGAAGCTCCTCCTTGCAGTGACATTTATCAGGGCAATAAAACACACATGCCTTTTTTTTTTTTATTTTTACTGTTTTGTTCTTAGAAGAGCTCTAGCTGGCCATCTTCCTCCCTTTTTAAATCCCTCTATTCTTTTGTGCTCCTGTCTGAGCATATCTGTCTGTTGTACATGTCTTGACTGGCTTGTATGGTGTGTAGGGAGGCTGAATCAATGTGGCAGAGGTTTGGAGCAGACTCAGCTCAAGGACAAAACCCCTTCAGAGCAGTGTGAGGGGGCTCAGTGGATGGTTTCATGGACAGGAGAGGTGGGAAGGAGCTTGCTGGAGCTGCAGTGCGGCTGCCGGTGTT